TGAACCCATCGCCTTTATTATAAACCTTAATTAATTTAAAGTGAGCCATAGTATTTTTTTTTCTCAGCATGAAAGTAAAAACTACCACAAACCTATCCTCTCTTACTACCTAATATTGGACTAGTGCTGATTTCAAGCGGCAATATATAGACAGGTTTACAAGCTACGTGAAAGGGGTTAACAACTGTTAAAAAGATGAAAAGGTACTTGCCGCTCTACCATACGTTATTGTTGGTTAGTTTAGTGAATTATGACCTAAATTTCTTAAAGCATGCAATATATTACTTGAGAAATGACAAGCTTTTACCGCTAAAAACAACTTAGATTCACTTAATATGTAGGATAAAGTATTCAGTATCATAGTCTGGTACAAAATAATCTCGAAAAGAACTTAAAAAATGATTGGCCTAGCTAATTGAGTATTTCATGCCCTTGCTGATGATATGTTCAAGATTTTGAAACTAAACCGTGAAACTATTGGCAAAGAAAATTTGAGATTTTCACCGATGAAATTCAAAAAAATAAAAAAAAACAAATGTGCGAAGGAGTCAAGAACATCTCATATATATATTTATTAAAAATAAAAAAAAGTTGCCTCATATACACACTGAAAATTTTCAGTTAAGGAGGCTCGGGCGAACATCTTCTGCCCCCTTCACTACCAGAAAATACCTTTTTTCCGACTACAAATTCCGTCTACAAAATGTCAGTCGCCATTTTCCGACTACTGTAATCTGAAATCTCATATTTATTTTTTAATTTATTTTTAAGAATTATTCCAAATATTTTTTCGATTAATATAATTAAAAAGTTTCGCGGGAAATTGCGCGCGTAAAAGTTTCCGACTACCGTAGTCAAAACATTAGATAATAAAGTCAAGACCACTTTTGACCAAGAATTTTTTAATTAAAAAAATTAAATAATATATAGTTTCCGACTACAGTAGTCGGAAACGTTAACTTATTTTCTGCTAACCCTTGTATTCTAATTCTTTTTTCCCATAATTTCTCAATTGCTCTGTCGTCTCTTTCTCTGTATCTCCGCCTCTCTCTCAACCGTGCCGGTCAAAATCGGCGTTGGGGACTTCATCAGGTACGCGATCTCTCTCTTTACCTTCTAATCTTCGGCCAAGACTAGGGTTTGAGGCTGGAATTGTTGGCTAGTTTAAGGCTTGTCCTTGTTTGTGTGCTCTATTTGATTTTTTGTTTGTATTGGGATAGAGTGAGGGTTGTGATGATGCTTATGAATCTTTCTATTTTTGGGCTGATCTTTGAGCATTGAGATGACCCGATCCGTATCTTGGTGTGGCAACCCGGTATGGCTGTGATTGAGTACTCTCTCTCGTGCAACCGGTGTTTTGCAGCCATGGCATGGCTGTCTTCTCTTTTGCCTTTTCATTATACGCGTCTGAGCCTCAATTTGCTGGATAACATTAGTAGGCGTTTGGACAATATTGAGTTGAAATTGAGAAATTCTCTTAAAAGCAGACTTGTGAGGTCTCTTCGGTTAAAAGCTCTCATCTAAATTAATTTATGTTTATCAATGGATAGCTTACAAGGGGTTGTGAAGAATTTTTATGATCAACAGCTCTCTTGATAAATGTTGTGAGAAATAGTTTAGTTTCTATGTTCCCTTTGTTTAATGGAACTACCTTTCTGGGTTTAGTTGAACAGGATATCAAAAACCAATTTAGTGAACTTTGCACACATGTGTAATGGAATCAAAATATATTTCTGTTGAATTTAGGTTACAACTTTATAGTTTGTTAATCTTGATGTATGCATTACCTTCAATAGTATTAAAGCCTAGCTTCACTCATTATTCTCTTCTGTTCTAATTGAATGAATAAAAATTCCTGGTATTTCCTCTCAATCTTGACTTGTGTTGACCTATTTTAATGACCCAAAATATTATGAACAGTCAAATTATGTGATCTTAATGGTAATATTCTTTTTTTTTTAGCAAATCCATTAGACAGGTGCCTAGGGCTAGTTTTATTAATAATAAAAAGCAAAAAAGAACCACATAGGAAGAGTACAATAAGGGGGACAATAGCACCAGTAGTGTTGCCTCTATGCCTTGGCTATATAATCACTCCTCTGCGCCTCACAATGCCCTTATGGCAGCCTCATGTAGAGGAATCATGGTGTAGCTGCCAGCAAAGTCTCACGAGGGCATATAATCTCATAGCCATTTGGATATCTTTCCAAAGGCATAGGGCTAGAGCAACACTAACAGGGCTAAACCTTACCTTACTAATCCTATTGAGGCAAATAAAAAGCCTCACCTACTAACATGCATGTAAAAAGAAAGAACTAGCTATCACTAGATATTCTATGATCATCACAGAGTTTATAACATACTCTGTGATGATATTACATAGAACTATACTAATGTGATGGTAGAATAAAAATATGTAGAAGTAACAGTGATGTCCTCTCTTATCTAATTTTGTGAAGTCTTCAACTTGTAGACACTTGTCTTCTTCATCAACCCTTTTCAAGATGTCTTCAAAATTCATGATTTTTTCTTTGAACGATTGGACTTTGTCGATGTAGTTTGAGTGGCCTGTTTTTGTTTTGCAATTCGCATTGGGAGTCTCCTTATGTTTGCGTCTTCATTTACCCTGCCGTCCCAACTCTATCCCTTGTACGCGACTTCTTGCTTTGTCCGCTATGCATTGGTGATAAATCACCTTTCCTTGCTGCCTCTGCCCGGCATTGATTTATTAGATCTTCTTCCTCACCCTCAACATATGTATCTCTGCCCACAATCACCGGATTTGGCACGTTTTGATCAAAGCCTTGTGTCACCATAGTGTTTCCATCCTTTTTTTTAACCAAAGCTGCCTTGTTTTGTGCTATGTTTTGCAATTTGTTCCTGCTCCTACTCACACGACCAGTGCTAAAAGCAGTAGCATTAAAAGATCGAGGGTCTGAACTTACCATTGCATCTAAAAGTTGTTTATCTTCTAAAGAAATTACTGGCATGTCTGTCACCATTTGTTGCTGGCCAGCATTTGATGTTGTTTCTTCTTTTCGATCATCTGTATGACGGATAACTGGAGTGACTGAATTAAGTTGTTGTTGCTGCTTATTTGCATTTGAATGTGCTGCTGGTTGTTCCTGATTATCACTTGGCATTGCTGCTGCTATTTGTTGGTGCTGCTGTTCAGCATTGGTAATTACAGCATCTGTTACAATTGCAATTTGCTGTTGCTGTTCAAAATCTGCTGTGGTTCCTGTATTTTGTTCCTCCACACAGGTAACAACTTGTGTGATTGTAACATTCTCCTGTTGGTTGGATCTGTTAGGTGCTGCATTTTTTCTTTGTGCATCTCCTGCTGTACCTGTTCCACGTTTTTGCTATCCCTTTTTAGGCACAAATTCTGGTGCCTTTACGTTAAAATTGCTGCTTGCCATTGCAGGACTGCCTTTTTTTGGTATAGATGGTGATCCAACTGAGCGTAAGCCTTCCTCTTCACTCTCTTGATCATCATCCTCACTCGAATACCCACCATACGCATCACCGTAATCTTCCTCATCATCATACTCGCGTTGGTTTGCCCATAGCTTAGATTTGATTGCCATCTCCCTCAAATTTGCCTTTATAATTTCCTTATTATTCCCAGATGACAACACCAACTCACCTCCATATTCACGACAAGACTCCAACGACTGTGATGGCACCTCATAAACTGAGGTGTTCAAGGTCACCATTGGTTGTTTAACCATGTTAGTATGCATCATCATTGCATTCTGAGCCTCTTTTATAATTTGTTCGACATGAGGGCTGGGAAAATGCAATGTTGGAATATTAGAACTGTGCATTAGCTCCTCCTCTACTGCAAGTGCTCCTGTCACTTCCATAGCATTTGAATCGTCGACAAGAACCATGTCTTTTGAGCCATTTAACGGAGCAACTGTAGCTTCTGATTTCTGATTCTGTTTTACACCGTGTGGTGTTTTTGAATGACTGCTTTTGGTGTTGCCTCACGTTCAAGCTGCTGCACTCTCTTTCCGGTATCATCCACAACAGGTTCACTCTCCAAAACACCAAAAGAGTTAGAGGTGCTAACTTCCTTTGGTGTATTTACCTGACTTGTGTGAACTGGAGCATTCCTTTTGTTTGGAGATACATTTTGTCGATGCACGACTGACCAGTCCTCCTGCTATTTGTACTTGTACTAC